TGGCATAAGCTTACTTCGCCCTTTGAGCCAGGTGAGCTAATAATGTGCATTCAGCGCTTATGCGTCTTATGATTATTTGTCTGCAATCCTGTTCCGTGTTATGGTCCTATAAAACGGAACAAGATTGCAGACAAAATGAATAAAGCAACCAAATGATGATAATTGCTCTCTTAAGGATGACATATGACAAATGACATAAAAATCAATCACAATAGGCCACCTGAGTGACTTATGTGAGTCTCATATTTTGTAGCTAAGTCTATTTTTTGCAGCTAAGTCTAAAGTCAAACCACCAAATGAACAGCAATGGATAGAAGCTGTGAGAAATTTTAAGGGAACAAGAGGCCTGCATGTGCACCTTATAGCCCTCCTAGCCCCCAGGTAACAGATAATTACACCTGGTGAGTCTCAGTCCTACTGTGCACCTTATAGCCCTCCTAGCCCCCAGGTAACAGGTAATAACACCTGGTGAGTCTCAGTCCTACTGTGCACCTTATAGCCCTCCTAGCCCCCAGGTAACAGGTAATAACACCTGGTGAGTCTCAGTCCTACTGTGCACCTTATAGCCCTCCTAGCCCCCAGGTAACAGGTAATAACACCTGGTGAGTCTCAGTCCTACTGTGCACCTTATAGCCCTCCTAGCCCCCAGGTAACAGGTAATAACACCTGGTGAGTCTCAGTCCTACTGTGCACCTTATAGCCCTCCTAGCCCCCAGGTAACAGGTAATAACACCTGGTGAGTCTCAGTCCTACTGTGCACCTTATAGCCCTCCTAGCCCCCAGGTAACAGGTAATAACACCTGGTGAGTCTCAGTCCTACTGTGCACCTTATAGCCCTCCTAGCCCCCAGGTAACAGGTAATAACACCTGGTGAGTCTCAGTCCTACTGTGCACCTTATAGCCCTCCTAGCCCCCAGGTAACAGGTAATAACACCTGGTGAGTCTCAGTCCTACTGTGCACCTTATAGCCCTCCTAGCCCCCAGGTAACAGGTAATAACACCTGGTGAGTCTCAGTCCTACTGTGCACCTTATAGCCCTCCTAGCCCCCAGGTAACAGGTAATTACACCTGGTGAGTCTCAGTCCTACTGTGCACCTTATAGCCCTCCTAGCCCCCAGGTAACAGATAATTACACATGGTGAGTCTCAGTCCTACTGTGCACCTTATAGCCCACCTAGCCCCCAGGTAACAGGTAATAACACCTGGTGAGTCTTAGTCCTACTGTGCACCTTATAGCCCACCTAGCCCCCAGGTAACAGGTAATAACACCTGGTGAGTCTCAGTCCTACTGTGCACCTTATAGCCCTCCTAGCCCCCAGGTAACAGGTAATTACACCTGGTGAGTCTCAGTCCTACTTAGGAAGGCCACAGGAGTCTTGTCTTGCAAACCAAGGTTTAAACAAGTGGCCCAATGGGCCTGCATCCCTCTATGGTATTAATCTCACACTTGTAATCTTAAAAGTGGACTAAAATACAGCTACAGGCAGGAAATCAGTGTGACCTTGAATGTCAAACAATGACATTAGGTTGAAAGTAGGTCTAAGTCATTCATTTGATAGCCCTGATTGCAACAGGCCAAATATCAGTACCCTGGGCCTTTTGGTTATTCAGAAGAAGTTGTTTGAAGATTTTAAGACATTTTACACCTGTGACCTTGAAAGTTGGTCAAGGTCATTCATCTGAACAAACTTGGTAGCCCTTCATCCTAGCATGCTACTGGACAAATATCATCACCTTAGGCATCTTGGTTATTCAGAAGAAGTTGTTTAAATGTTTTGAACATATTTGACCCCTGTGACCTTGAATATGAGTCAAGGTCATTTATTTGAACAAACCTGGTAGCTCTTTGACACAGCATGTTACTGAACAAATCTCATCACCCTAGGCCTCTTGGTTATTCAGAAGAAGTTGTTGACAGATTTTAAACATATTTGACCCATGTGACCTTGAATATAAATCAAGGTCATTTATTTGAACAAACTTGGTAGCCATTTATCCCAGCATGTTACTGGCCAAATTTATGCACCCAAGGCCTATTGGTTATTCAGAAGAAGTTGTTCAAATGTTTTAAACATATTTGACCCCTGTGACCTAGAATATAAGTCAAGGTCATGTATTTGAACAAACTTGCTAACCCTTCATCCCAATATGTTACTGGCCAAATATCATCACCCTAGGCCTATCGGGTAAGTTGTTGAAAGGTTTTAAACATATTTGACCCATGTGACCTTGAATATAAATCAAGGTCATTTATTTGAACAAAATTGGTAACCCTTCATCCCAGCATGTATGTTACTGGCCAAATATCATCACCCTATGCCTCTTGGTTATTCAGAAGAAGTTGTTGAAAGGTTTTAAACATATTTGATCCCTGTGACCTTGAATATAAGTCAAGGTCATTTATTTGAACAAACATGGTAGCCCTTCATTCCAGCATGCTTCTTGCCAAATATCATCACCCTAGGCCTTTTGGTTAGTGAGAAGAAGTTGTTTAAAGTAAAATGTTGACGGCGGGCGGACTACTGACGGACGACGGACGCCGCACCATTAAAATTCTATCAGCTTTGAGAGATTGGTGCCTGGATTACCTGTATGATGTTTCATGAAATTTGGATGAAATTTTGGATAGGAAATTGTGGACAAGCAAATTATCCCATCGTCATTAAAATATACTGTAGCAGTGACCTTAACCTTCAGCTGGTCCCAAACAATTAGTGTGCGAAGCTTCATGAAATTTGGCTTAAAACTTTAGTCAGAAAACTGCAGATAAGCAAAAATTGGACAGCTGGACACAAGGGTTGAAGCCAATATCTGCTTGTTCAAAAATGGCCATATAAAAGAGGACTTGTCAAAAAGGGAGACAAATTGACAAAGCTCAACATATCCATAGTTTTTATATATTAAACACTTTTCCTTCGTTGTGGCCCTGCCTAGACCTACTAAATAAAGACAGGTTCTGGCACCTGCATTCAATTTATTACTAAGAAACAATTAAAACTTCCTACAAATTTCCTCAAGGATCCAGAATCCAATACAGTTGACACTGTTCTCAGAATGACTTCAGTGAACTGTGGCTGAAATCACTCCAAACTAACTGACATATCATATTCTCCAAATATATATAGCAAAATTTGGCCCCTTCATGTGGTCTCATTGGGACCATGAGATAAGCTATGAGTACCATACCGTCTTCCTCCCTGGAAATCAAGGACCTGGTATTGATGACAAGCTCACATGCCTCTCTTGCCGGGTGAACCTTTTTTTTTAAATCAGTGCAGAGAAACAGCTATCAACTAACGAGCACATATTTTTACATGGACTGCTCTTCCATTTCTCATAGGAAGAAACAGGAAAAAATCTTCTAAAGCAATTGTTCAGCATCAGCAGCCACAGGGAGTTCACTTGTGTAATGAATGTAGTACATTTCTTGTTTGTCAATCTTTTAGTTTTGCCATTATTGTGATTCATTGTAAAAAAATGTGAGATTTCTTTTTCTTTAGGGAAATCTGGGACAAAATTGAATGCAGTGGCAAAATACATAATGTTACTTTTGTCAGACTAACAATCAAAACAACCAATCTTACCCTGGAAAATAATTCATTTTTATAATTTTTTGATCAACAAGTCATTTCACACAATAATACACCTCACCAATTAGGTAATGTATGCTTGACACAAACATATCTAATCAATCAAAATAAACAAGAATCGCTCACCATAATATTGAATGTTTTTGTTACTCACGCTGTTATAAAATGTTTTGTTACTCACCCTGTTATATGTTTTGTAACTCACCCTGTTATATAATGTTTTGTTACTCACCCTGTTATTATAATGTTTTGTTACTCACCCTGTTATATGTTTTGTTACTCACCCTGTTATTTAATGTTTTGTTACTCACCCTGTTATATAATGTTTTGTCACTCACTCTGTTATATAATGTTTTGTTACTTACCCTGTTATATAATGTTTCGAGACCTACCTCACAGAGACAGAGGTAGGCTTACCTTACAGAGACAGAGGGATACCTACCTTACAGAGACAGAGGGAGGCTTACCTTACAGAGACAGAGGGAGGCTTACCTTACAGAGACAGAGGTTGACCTACCTTACAGAGACAGAGGTAGACCTACCTTACAGAGACAGAGGTAGACCTACCTTACAGAGACAGAGGTTGACCTACCTTACAGAGACAGAGGGAGGCTTACCTTACAGAGACAGTGGGAGACCTACCTCACAGAGACAGAAGTAGGCTTACCTTACAGAGACAGAGGTAGACCTACCTTACAGAGACAGAGGGAGGCTTACCTTACAGAGACAGAGGGAGGCTTACCTTACAGAGACAGAGGGAGACCTACCTTACAGAGACAGAGGTTGACCTACCTTACAGAGACAGAGGTAGACCTACCTTACAGAGACAGAGGTAGACCTACCTTACAGAGACAGAGGTTGACCTACCTTACAGAGACAGAGGGAGACCTACCTTACAGAGACAGAGGTTGACCAAACTTACAGAGACAGAGGGAGACCTACCTTACAGAGACAGAGGTTGACCAAACTACAGAGACAGTGGGAGACCTACCTCACAGAGACAGAAGTAGGCTTACCTTACAGAGACAGAGGTAGACCTACCTTACAAAGGAAGAGGGAGGTTTACCTTACAGAGACAGAGGTAGACCTACCTTACAGAGACAGAGGGAGGCTTACCTTACAGAGGCAGAGGTAGGCTTAACTTATGGTGACAGAAGTAGACTTACCATACAGAGGCGGAGGTAGGCTTAACTAACAGAGACAGAGGGATACCTACCTTATAGAGGCAGAGGTAGGCTTAACTTACAGAGACAGAGATATACTTACCTTACAGAGGCGTAGGTAGGCTTAACTTAAAGAGGCGGAGGTACGCTTACCTTACAGAGACAGAAGTAGGCCTACCTTACAGAGGCAGACCTACCTTACAGAGACAGAGGGAGACCTACCTTACAGAGACAGTGGTAGACTTACCTTACAGAGGCGGAGGTAGGCAGGCCTGAAGTTATGAGACCACTCTGACAGACAATGAGCCTCATCTATACAGGCGAAGGAGATTGTTGGCAAGTTAGCACTTGAGTTCAGCAAAGACATGCTTCCACCAGCAACTGCTTCCGGAGACACCAACAGGAAATGGACACGCCCATCCTTGACTGCAGCCAGAACACCTTCCTTCTGGGCGGGCGTCATGTTGGTGTGAAGACAAGCCCCATGTAACCCAGCAGGTAAACCTGTAATCTGTATGACAACAAGCTTTGGTTAATAGATCACACCCCAAATATCATCAATTTACAAATACCTGTCTCAGGACCAAAACTCCTTATTATAACAGACCAATCAATATCATGTCAAAGAAATAACCAGACTAAAAATGCTATATATATCGCAGTTAAAAACTCCCTATAAAGGTATAATGTGTAAGGGAAACAACTCTTATACAAATCAAAGGTATAATGTGTAAGGGAGGTAGCTCTTATACAAATCAGAGGTATAATGTGTAAGGGAGGTAACTCTAATAAAAATCAGAGGTATAATTTGTAAGGGAAGTAACTCTAATACAAATCAGAGGTATAATGTGTAACGGATACAACTCTAATACAAATCAGTGGTGTAATGTGTAAGGGAGGTAACTCTAATACAAATCAGAGGTATAATGTGTAAGGGAGGTAACTCTAATACAAATCAGAGGTATAATGTGTAAGGGAGGTAACTCTAATACAAATCAGAGGTATAATGTGTAAGGGAGGTAACTCTAATACAAATCAGAGGTATAATGTGTAAGGGAGGTAACTCTAATACAAATCAGAGGTATAATGTGTAAGGGAGGTAACTCTAATACAAATCAGAGGTATAATGTGTAAGGGAGGTAACTCTAATACAAATCAGAGGTATAATGTGTAAGGGAGGTAACTCTAATACAAATCAGAGGTATAATGTGTAAGGGAGGTAACTCTAATACAAATCAGAGGTATAATGTGTAAGGGAGGTAACTCTAATACAAATCAGAGGTATAATGTGTAAGGGAGGTAACTCTAATACAAATCAGAGGTATAATGTGTAAGGGAGGTAACTCTAATACAAATCAGAGGTATAATGTGTAAGGGAGGTAACTCTAATACAAATCAGAGGTATAATGTGTAAGGGAGGTAACTCTAATACAAATCAGAGGTATAATGTGTAAGGGAGGTAACTCTAATACAAATCAGAGGTATAATGTGTAAGGGAGGTAACTCTAATACAAATCAGAGGTATAATGTGTAAGGGAGGTAACTCTAATACAAATCAGAGGTATAATGTGTAAGGGAGGTAACTCTAATACAAATCAGAGGTATAATGTGTAAGGGAGGTAACTCTAATACAAATCAGAGGTATAATGTGTAAGGGAGGTAACTCTAATACAAATCAGAGGTATAATGTGTAAGGGAGGTAACTCTAATACAAATCAGAGGTATAATGTGTAAGGGAGGTAACTCTAATACAAATCAGAGGTATAATGTGTAAGGGAGGTAACTCTAATACAAATCAGAGGTATAATGTGTAAGGGAGGTAACTCTAATACAAATCAGAGGTATAATGTGTAAGGGAGGTAACTCTAATACAAATCAGAGGTATAATGTGTAAGGGAGGTAACTCTAATACAAATCAGAGGTATAATGTGTAAGGGAGGTAACTCTAATACAAATCAGAGGTATAATGTGTAAGGGAGGTAACTCTAATACAAATCAGAGGTATAATGTGTAAGGGAGGTAACTCTAATACAAATCAGAGGTATAATGTGTAAGGGAGGTAACTCTAATACAAATCAGAGGTATAATGTGTAAGGGAGGTAACTCTAATACAAATCAGAGGTATAATGTGTAAGGGAGGTAACTCTAATACAAATCAGAGGTATAATGTGTAAGGGAGGTAACTCTAATACAAATCAGAGGTATAATGTGTAAGGGAGGTAACTCTAATACAAATCAGAGGTATAATGTGTAAGGGAGGTAACTCTAATACAAATCAGAGGTATAATGTGTAAGGGAGGTAACTCTAATACAAATCAGAGGTATAATGTGTAAGGGAGGTAACTCTAATACAAATCAGAGGTATAATGTGTAAGGGAGGTAACTCTAATACAAATCAGAGGTATAATGTGTAAGGGAGGTAACTCTAATACAAATCAGAGGTATAATGTGTAAGGGAGGTAACTCTAATACAAATCAGAGGTATAATGTGTAAGGGAGGTAACTCTAATACAAATCAGAGGTATAATGTGTAAGGGAGGTAACTCTAATACAAATCAGAGGTATAATGTGTAAGGGAGGTAACTCTAATACAAATCAGAGGTATAATGTGTAAGGGAGGTAACTCTAATACAAATCAGAGGTATAATGTGTAAGGGAGGTAACTCTAATACAAATCAGAGGTATAATGTGTAAGGGAGGTAACTCTAATACAAATCAGAGGTATAATGTGTAAGGGAGGTAACTCTAATACAAATCAGAGGTATAATGTGTAAGGGAGGTAACTCTAATACAAATCAGAGGTATAATGTGTAAGGGAGGTAACTCTAATACAAATCAGAGGTATAATGTGTAAGGGAGACGACTCCAATACAAATCAGAGGTGTAATGTGTAAGGGAGGTAACTCTAATACAAATCAGAGGTATAATGTGTAAGGGAGGTAACTTTAATACAAATCAGAGGTATAATGTGTAAAGGAGACGACTCCAATACAAATCAGAGGTGTAATGTGTAAGGGAGGTAACTCTAATACAAATCAGAGGTATAATGTGTAAGGGAGGTAACTCTAATACAAATCAGAGGTGTAATGTGTACAGAGACGACTCTAATAACGGATCATCATCTATTACACCTTTCAGTTAGATATATGATATATTAACAGGGAAATAATTGGTCGGCAGTGTGGCCCACGGTGATTGACCTGGAAGCTAACGAAGCGTAGTTAGATAGTATCTCAACATTAATAAATTAAGTCGGCGACATCAGGAGATACGTTATCTGAATAACAAAAATGGAATTATATACAAAGTTTCAGTTCGATATGTGAAAAAGTGCTTAAAATATGTTGAATTCAGATTTTACGATGTACAGGCATGAAGCTTTATGGCGTGGCGTGTGTGTAGGACTTGGCATCAGTGAACACTGTCAGACTGGATTACAGTGAACACTGTCAGACTGGATAACAGTGAACACTGTCATACTGGATTACAGTGAACACTGTCAGACTTGATTACAGTGAACACTGTCAGACTGGATTACAGTGAACACTGTCAGACTGGATTACAGATAACACTGTCAGACTGGATTACAGTGAACACTGTCAGACTGGGTTACAGTGAACACTGTCAAACTGGATTACAGTGAACACTGTCTGATGGATTACAGTGAACACTGTCAGTCTGGATTACAGTGAACACTGTCAGACTGGATTACAGTGAACACTGTCAGACTAGATTACAGTGCTATCATTGTTACACTGGTGTAATCAATGGAACCATGCTATCAACTATCTGTTGTTTGTGTTATTTTTACATTCCTCATCCTAATAGGTACTTTCTAACTAGTTCATTGTAAAACTCTCAGCCTCATTCTTGATCCAAGCATATTACCAGACCAGATAAAAATGTTAATAAAAGATTTACAAATATTTGTAGATAATCAGATGCAGCACCTGTGATATATCAAGTTAATGTCACAGAAAGGTATAAGATCTATATATATCATTTCTTATAAACATAGCTGATGTTATGTGGATTAAATGATAAATGATTGTAACACATGTAAAATGAAAATCAATGATGTTGTGTAATGTAAATGAGATGTAATAGTGATAATAAATTTGGTAAAGCTGAACAGAATTTCCAATCTATCATCATAATAAATCATTGAAATTGTTTTTATCATTTGTTTAATTGTCCCCAAAATATCCCAAGATGTCCCATAAAATTTGCGTGTGTAAACACAATGTCTCGCGAGCCCTTGCACCGTCACTGCAGGTATGATTTAGTTTGTTTGGGATTAAATGTCCTCACCACAGCCAGGGTTATACGAGGAAAGGAGATGATGTGGAAGGTAGCATGTAACCTTAACAAAAACTCATTTTTTTACACTACAACTGTTCCAGATAAATTTCACATTGTAATGACAGTTCAGCCTATTTTTAATTTCCAACCCAGTTTTATGGATCTGGGACAGAGTGTCATTGCCTGATGAACTTAATACAAATATATTTAAAATAAAGTTGCTAGGAAATTAACATTTATTTTTGTTTCTTGTCTCATGAAACCATAGATGTAATTTAGTTATAATTTCAAATACTTGTTTTTTATCATATACTGCATGAAATGTTTGCTTTTGCATTGAGTCAAGCTTTCGGTTAATTTCTATTGACCACACAGCTTAGTTATTGACCACACAGCTTAGCGCTGACTCTAGATTTTAGAGTCACCGGTTGAAATCCTGATTTGGTGTAAAGCATACTCTCTAACCGATCAGTACCTGATAGCAATGACCAACAATTGTGACGAACACTATCGCTGAAACCAGTGTTGTTGATATGGTTGTTATCAGGGGCAAAAAATGGATGGTAGAGTGTAGCTTATCTGGACTTGGTTGATCGCCAGATAGCTTAGAAGGTGTTTAGAACTGGGGGGTCCAGGGCTGGAACTTTGGTCCAATCCATCATGTCTAATTACGTCTTTAATTACCTGGTCCTCCATGAGGGAAACAAGAGGTGATATCACCAGGGCGATGCTCTTTGACCTCTTGGCATATAGATAGGCCGGTAACTGGTAACACAGAGATTTACCTCCCCCTGTCGACAGGACAACCAGCGTGGACTGACCTGTCAAACACAACAGCAGACATTTATTTTCATCATAATCTACATGGGTTTTTTTGACATCACAATTTACATGGGGTTTTTTACATCAAAATTTACATGATTTACACAACTCTTCAGCTTACAACACTCTCAGCATTTGTGTTGACGTTCTCCTCATATCAAATTAAACTAATGAAACAACAAGCTTACATTATTATTTATCTCTGGGTTAGGAGGGGTCTATGAGCCAGTAGACCCCTCCTAACCCAGAGAGAACGAATTTGTCATCCTGACAATCTATTATTACTTTTATTTCAGTTATAAGTTACTTTGTGAGTTTGAGCTGTACTTGAATGTTATCAAAATAGCCCCTGCCAGACACCTTTTCTGCAATATTTCGGACAACACAAAACCATCTTTGCAATAAGCACCCTAGAGGTCCCATCAGTGTCTGTTTAGTTGAATTTGCTGTCGTTTAAGATAGCCTACATTGAATTTGCTGTCGTTTAAGATTGCCTGTAGGCTATTTCATCCTGTGAATGATTTGTAAACCACGAACGCATGTGTGTGTCGGATGCCATCATTGTTCTTATGAAGAGAGATTCTAGTTTGAGTTATCTCCCCTCGCACATGCTTTTATAGATCCCAGCAGAGCGGGGTCTATAGAAATATAGACCCCGGCAAGATATCCAATCAGAAAGAGTGTTACAAATAAGAAGGGTGACATAATATATATCCCCAGCTTCATCTGAGCTAGATATTCAACATTTGTCTGTGGGGTATAAAATCGACCAATGTCTACTGTTTGGGGGTAGACCTCAATGTTACCATACTATGGTGTAGATATGAATATGTTGAGGGGTTAATGAGAAATTCAATATAGACTCTGACTGTCATTTTGTTTTTCCTATTCCTGTGAATCGGAATTATGGGTCTCTTCAGAGGTTCCCAAATAATAGTAGTCACAGACTTGAAATGCATAATCTAGGATGACATGCTGGTGGCCATTTTGTTTTTTCCTGATCCATCCCAAATTGGAACAAGGATGGTCATGTTTGTCACATTATGATCCGTTTATATTTTTCACTCAATATCCACACAAAACTGACATAATCTGAAGGTGGGGAGTTACAGGGTGAACCACAGTTACAGTGATGCGTATCAATACATTGGGAAAGCTCACATTTTTATGGTCCCAAAAATACTTCACAAATTCAGATGGAATTGAAATATGATTAATGTGCACCTTTGGTATTTTGTGATTTTTTTTCTTTCTATCCAATCTTTATTTCCGAAGACATTAAATATCACAGAATACCGGCGAGAGATTAAACCTGTTATATTTCATTTCTAAAACAATTTCAAGATGCACATTCAATTATTTCCTGAAGCAATAATAATATGCTGAACAAATAAAATTATAGTGTTATTGCCCAGGGCAGTTAATTAAATCAGGAAACAGCAGAGCCTAGCTCTGAGAAATGACAGAAAATGACATTGTTTTAATTCAGTGATCGTATAATTAAGCAATATGATGTTAAGTTTAAGTGTATCTACATTTGTTTTAATTCAGTGATCGTATAATTAAGCAATATGATGTCAGGTTTAATTGTATCTACATTGTTTTAATTCAGTGATAGTATAATTAAGCAATATGATGTTAAGTTTAAGTGTATCTACATTTGTTTTAATTCAGTGATCGTATAATTAAGCAATATGATGTTAGGTTTAAGTGTATATACATTGTTTTAATTCAGTGATCATATAATTAAGCAATATGATGTTGGGTATAAGTGTATCTACATTGTTTTAATTCAGTGATCGTATAATTAAGCAATATGATGTTAGGTGTAAGTGTATCTACATTGTTTTAATTCAGTGATAGTATAATTAAGCAATATGATGTTAAGTTTAAGTGTATCTACATTGTTTTAATTCAGTGATTGTATAAATAATAATACGATGTTAGGTTTAAGTGTATCTACATTGTTTTAATTCAGTGATCGTATAATTAAGCAATATGATGTTGGGTATAAGTGTATCTACATTGTTTTAATTCAGTGATTGTATAAATAATAATACGATGTTGGGTATAAGTGTATCTACATTGTTTTAATTCAGTGATCGTATAATTAAGCAATATGATGTTAGGTTTAAGTGTATCTACATTGTTTTAATTTAGTGATTGTACAATTAAGCAATATGATGTTAGGTATAAGTGTATCTACATTGTTTTAATTCAGTGATCGTATAAGTGTATCTACATTGTTTTAATTCAGTGATTGTATAATTAAGCAATATGATGTTAGGTATAAGTGTATCTACATTGTTTTAATTCAGTGATCATATAATTAAGCAATATGATGTTAGGTATAAGTGTATCTACATTGTTTTAATTCAGTGATTGTATAATTAAGCAATATGATGTTAGGTTTAAGTGTATCTACATTGTTTTAATTCAGTGATCGTATAATTAAGCATTATGATGTTAGGTTTAAGTGTATCTACATTGTTTTAATTCAGTGATCATATAATTAAGCAATATGATGTTAGGTATAAGTGTATCTACATTGTTTTAATTCAGTGATCGTATAATTAAGCAATATGATGTTAGGTATAAGTGTATCTACCAGACAGAATTCTCATGATAGCTCTTTCTTGTCCTCTCCTGAACGCATCGTATCCAAACATCTTCAAGCCTTTCCAAACATCCTCTGGGGTTTCTAAAAAAACAAACATGAATTGATGTTACTCCATTAACTGTTAAATGGCTAACTCCTGTATAATGATATGTAAAAAAATATAAAAACAAGAGATCCCAGAGGGATCTTGGCGCCCACCTTTGTACCATCTTTATTAGTTCTTTGTCAGTTCGATCTTTTCTCTTCTTTCTTCTAATCTGTTTGATCGAGTCATGTTAACAGTAAATGCTCCTTGAGGTAACTTTTGATCTAAAGTTAATACTGATGTGTATGAAAGCCAACCTTCAAAGTGAGTTTGTCATTTCACATATTTACTAGTACAGTACTTAATGTGAAAGAAATAGAATCGATCATTGCAATATGAGAAAGATCTGTTTAGTTCATCTTTTAATCCATTTTGTTTTTATGATCAGTCTCAAAATATAACATACACAACGAGGGATCAAGGGGAACCTACATTTAAAATTTGAGAAAGATCCCTCCTGTACTTCCCGAGAAATAGCAATAACAAACTTTCAATATCAAAATCAAAGATGGCTGCCTGTCGGCCATGTTGTTTATCCGATCAATCTCAAAAGGTTCCCAGCACAGCTAAGGACCAAGGGGTACCTACATATAAAATTTGAGAAAGATCCCTCTGGTACTTCTTGAGAAATAGCGATAACAAACTTTCAATATCAAAATCAAAGATGGCTGCCTGTTGGCCATGTTGTTTATCCGATCACTCTCAAAAAAATGCCCTGCACAGCTAAGGACCAAGGGGAACCTACATATAAAATTTGAGAAAGATCTCTCTGGTATTCTTGAGAAATAGCGATAACAAACTTTCAATATCAAAATCAAAGATGGCTGCCTGTTGGCCATGTTGTTTATCCGATCACTCTCAAAAAAATGCCCTGCACAGCTAAGGACCAAGGGGAACCTACATATAAAATTTGAGAAAGATCTCTCTGGTATTCTTGAGAAATAGCGATAACAAACTTTCACGTACATAATAATAATAATATACAGCATTTATATAGCGCCCTATATAATTTGTAATAAATATCTAAAACTATTAAGCTTGCTAGTATCTTTGTCTGAGTTTGAACACAGATGAACTTAGTTTAATATGTTAATGGGCATTTATCGGAGATAATTTACTTTGTGTTTCTATGATTATACAGTCGTTTATGCGAAAGGAAGGGATAAGTGACTGGTTAGTTTGATTTTGCCATGAGGTCCTCGAAGGGATAACTGTTGTGAAGGCCCACGGCATATTTTCGGGGTCATCAAGATACGTGTGCTATTAGATTTACATAGTTTATAATATTACCGGGTTCAGTAAAATGGTATGATTTGATTATATTGCTGAATTAAACGATTATTTTTGGTTTTACATACAAGATTTAAATTAGTACTTATATGAATACCCGGCCTCTTCTGCCCCAGCAATATATAAAAAAATCAGAAAGGTTTTGTCCCATGGTTGAGGGAAGGTATTTAGCCCCGTACCATCTGTACCGGTCACATTCTGGTACTAAATTCAAAATATATTTATAAATATCTACTTTATGTTTACGCCTATTATCATTGTTGACATTTAATTGTAAATGTATGATGGGAGAAGGCTGTGATAAATTGTAAAAACTTGTGCCCCATCCCTTGTTCAATTTCATTGGCAACAAATATGTTTAAAGCTAAATAAATTTAAATTCTGAATATTGGCAAGCGTGCAATTAACTTCTGATGATGAATAATTACTGTTCAATAAGTTTGAATACAGACTCAGAAATCATATTACTTGGTTTCATAGCGCGGTAAGAAGTTGCAGTTGCCTGACGGCCCCTCTCTGGGGGCCCCTCTGGAAACCGTTTCCTGCTGGGTCAGGTGACGTTATTGGCGCTATTTTTAGCAGGGCTTTCCCGAACAATTCAAGTGGTCAAACAGGACATTTGGAACGGACTATGAATATGAGAATAGCGAGGTAACATAAGTGTAAGTGCATACAATATATACATTCATTAAAAAAAATATGGCTCTTCACGTGATGTCCCTTTAAAAGAATTTTGATTTGAATATTTTTGCAAATAGTTATTGTCACCTTTGTTTATTTCAGTATTTGATATTTTGTCTGGAGATCTCCTACAATTTTTGATCGATTTCTTTGAAACTTGTTAGGCTTTATTATCATGACATGTTGTTGTGTTTCCCCTGAAAAGAACTTTGATTTGACAATTTTTGCAAAAAATATTTTCCTTTGTTTATTTCAGTATTTGATTTTTATCCAGCGATCTCCTCCTACATTAACAATAACTTTCATACGTTTAACAAGCAATGTGCACATAATTGAACAAATAAAAGGGTGGTATTCCAGTGTCTCACCACAGTAACAACTTCATCATTATTGTTGGTTTTAAGTCCACAGACAACAACATAGTCCTACAACTCATGATAAGTATACAAGACAAGCTGTTTTTAAATCTTACAGTGGTAAACTATGTATTTGACAGACAGTTTCTAATGTAAGAAAGTGGCCTAAAAACCAATAAAAACCAAACAGAATAGCATTATTACAGGTAAGATAAACTAGCATTGCAAGCAATTTATAACCCCCTATCTCCAGACACATCTGGCTAATAATATGCTTAAAGGGCCATAACTGTATATAGTAGGCTTGGAGACCTGATTTCAGAAGGTAACATTCTGATATCCAAGGAGAATGGCATATAGTTGGTTTACAGGGTTTAACGTCCTATCAACAGCTTAGGTCATTTAAGGACATGCCTCTTTGTGTGTCACGTATGTGTGCATGTGTATGTGTGCCGGAGACAGGGTATGTTGGTGTATTTGCTTCCTTGTGATAGGGTGGATCTGATGCCGACTTTATAGTGCTATCTAACTGAAATACTTTCCGCCCGGTCACATTATACTGAAAACGATTGAACAAGTTGTTGCCATTACCCTAAATGATTAACGTTAAGCAGGGAACAACAACTATCATTTTTAAGGACTTTGGTATGTCTTGTTGCCTTCCTAACCTGGAGGATCGTCTAACATTAAAGCCAAAACTGAGGTGTTTCCAAGCGAGATCTAGGGAAAAAAAGGCAGCCAGAAGCAGAGAGAAATGTTAAGATCCCAAATACTGCAATGGGTGCAGCAGATTTATTTTGGTCACTTTTGTGTCCCCAAGTAGATGGCACAAAAGCAAATCTCCAATTCTGCAAAAAATCTGTACTGTTTCCTCAAATTACAAGAGATGACCATCAAACCATCAGCAACAATTTTCAAATGCTGTTGAACAATCGAGACTTCTGGGCGAAATAACCGATGTACAGTCTGCCCTTACCTTCTGTACAGGATGTGATAACCGAAGTACAGTCTGCCCTTACCTTCTGTACAGGATGTGATAACCGATGTACAGTCTTCCCTTACCTTCCGTACAGGATGTGATAACCGATGTACAGGCTGCCCTTACCTTCTGTACAGGATGTGATAACCGAAGTACAGTCTGCCCTTACCTTCTGTACAGGTTGTGATAACCGATGTACAGTCTGCCCTTAACTTCCGTACAGGATGTGATAACCGATGTACAGTCTGTCCTTACCTTCTGTACAGGATGTGATAACCGATGTTCAGTCTGCCCTTACCTTCCGTACAGGATGTGATAACCGATGTACTGTCTGCCCTAACCTTCTGTACAGGATGTGATAACCGATGTACAGTCTTCCCTTACCTTCCGTACAGGATGTGATAACCGATGTTCAGTCTGTCCTTACCTTCCGTACAGGATTTGATAATGTGATAACCGATGTACAGTCTGGCCTAACCTTCCGTACAGGATGTACAGTCTGCCCTTACCTTCCGTACAGGCTGTGATAACCGATGTACAGTCTGCCCTTAACTTCCGTACAGGATGTGATAACCGATGTACAGTCTGTCCTTACCTTCCGTACAGGATGTGATAATGTGATAACCGATGTACAGTCTGGCCTAACCTTCCGTACAGGATGTGATAACCGATGTACAGTCTGCCCCAACCTTCCGTACAGGATGTGATAACCGATGTACAGTTTGTCCTTACCTTCCGTACAGGATGTGATAATGTGATAACCGATGTAAAGTCTGGCCTAACCTTCCGTACAGGATGTGATAACCGATGTACAGTCTGCCCTTACCTTCCGTACAGGATGTGATAACCGATGTACTGTCTGCCCTAACCTTCTGTACAGGATGTGATAACCGATGTACAGTCTGTCCTTACCTTCTGTACAGGATTTGATAACCGATGTACAGTCTGCCCTTACCTTCTGTACAGGATGTGATAACCGATGTACAGTCTGCCCTAACCTTCCGTACAGAGTGTGATAACCGATGTACAGTCTGCCCTAACCTTCCGTACAGGATGTGATCACCGATATACAGTCTGCCCTTACCTGCCGTACAGGATGTGATAACCGATATACAGTCTGCCCTTACCTGCCGTACAGGATGTGATAACCGATGTCCAGTCTGCCCTTACCTTCCGTACAGGGTGTGATAACCGATGTACAGTCTGACCTTACCTTCCGTACAGGATGTGATCACCGATATACAGTCTGCCCTTACCTGCCGTACAGGATGTGATAACCGATATACAGTCTGCCCTTACCTTCCGTTCAGGATGTGATAACCGATGTACAGTCGGCCCTGACCTTCCGTACAGGATGTGATAACCGATGTACAGTCTGCCCTTACCTTCCGTACAGGATGTGATGACCGATATACAGTCTGCCCTTACCTTCCGTACAGGATGTGATAACCGATGTACAGGCTGCCCTTACCTTCCGTACAGGATGTGATAACCCATGTACAGTCTGCCCTTCCCTTCCGTACAGGATGTGATGACCGATATACAGTATGCCCTTACCTTCCGTACAGGATGTGATAACCGATGGACAGTCTGCCCTTACCTTCCGTACAGGATGTGATCACCGATATACAGTCTGCCCTTACCTTCCGTACAGGATGTGATAACCCATGTACAGTCTGCCCTTCCCTTCCGTACAGGATGTGATGACCGATATACAGTCTGCCCTTACCTTCCGTACAGGATGTGATAACCGATGTACAGTTTGCCCTTACCTTCCGTACAGGATGTGATAGCCGATGTACAGTTTGCCCTTACCTTCCGTTCAGGATGTGATAACCGATGTACAGTCTGCCCTTACCTTCCGTACAGGATGTGATAGCCGATGTACAGTTTGCCCTTACCTTCCGTTCAGGATGTGATAACCGATGTACAGTTTGCCCTTACCTTCCGTACAGGATGTGATAAACGGTGAAATAGGGGGCGGCACTATTGCCTCCTCCGGGGCCGATCTTGTGATCCCAGCCTCAATCTGAACATCTTCGTCATCCTCGTCTTCAGAAGAATACTGGGAAACATCTAAACACAATAGCCACAACTACATATGTACATCTAGGCCAGCAGAGGGTAATGCCTCAATACAAAGTGTAATTTACTGTAAACAGGGATGGTGTCTGGTCTTCTCTTTGTGTAAACACTACTGTAGACATTTCAACAAATAAATACCTTTTTTATTACTGGAATAACTTTGTACCAAGAACAATCTACTGGTATATATTTGCAGTCTTTTAAGAGATTTGGTCTGAAACTATTTTGAGTGCACAAGATAAGCTCTGCCAAAATATGGAGAAAATTAATTCTGACACCCAAATGTTTTATCAGCTATGGACCCAGATGTATTCATCAACATGTTTACACATGTTATATTAATTAACATTTATAAACATTATAAAATACATAGTAATTCAATGAGGAGGGTGAATTTTATATTGGGCGAAAAGTTTGACAGGACAAAATTCTCCTGGTATACAGTATATAGATACCAAAACGCTCAGGTGGCTGTTCAATGCTGTAGAACATGCTCGGTTAAGTATTATAAGTGGATGATCATTATTAAACACATTTATTAGGACAAAATTAACGTCTGACATCAGTTATTAGATTTTCCAATCTGGACTTACCCTCTGTGTCCTTCTGTGTCTTCTTCACCCTTTTCTCTTTTTTGACCTCTGACTTATTGACCTTGATACCCTTTGCCATCATTGCTGCCTCCTGCAGACTTGGGAAATCCTCTTCAGTGACAGGTTCCTCGTGTCTGTCACCACCTCCAAACTTTCCAGATTTTGAGGAGCCACCTTTGTAAGGTACAAGTGATACACAATTACCAGGAAGTCCATGGTATGACTTAGGAAATTTAACAAAGCTGCATGCAAGGCCAATGAGTTAACCAATCAACCAATCAACCGGTAATTTAAAATTTAGGACTGTAGGACAGTGAGCAAACCTAAAATATCTTACACCTGTATATATTTCAGGGGCTAACCTAAACTTTTTTCTATTCTTTAATAAATTTGGAAAGCTTACCCGGACATTTGTTTGCCCAATGACCCGGCTGTCCGCACTTGAAACAGTTGTCTCCCCTACTAGCACTGCGGGCGGCCATCTTTTGTTTCCACATGAAGCGCTTGTGCTGCGGTCCTGTCATGCCTTTACCTCCTTTACGCTTGTAAGTTTTCACTTTCATATTAAGGCGCACAAAATTATTCTGGGAGACTTTTCTGAAAAACGAAACATCTTTACTGAGCTAACTCTAATCAGCTATACATTAGGTGTAAATACAGGCCGTATGTGAATGGGCCAGAATCTCTGTGTACCACTTAAGGCAGGTCTTAAATCTAGTTTGAATTGCAGAATGTAAAGTGACATTTGCAGATTACAAAAATCTTGTTACTGTACATGTCTGTATGCTGTGTAAAGCTTGAAGAATATACGTGGATATGATTACAAAGTGGACCTTAAACTGACAAGATGTACCTTTATACTGACAAGGTGTACATTTATACTGACAAGGTGTACCTTTATACTGACAAGGCATACCTTTATACTGACAAGACGTACCTTTATACTGACAAGGTGTACCTTTATACTGACAAGGTATACCTTTATACTGACAAGGTGTACATTTATACTGACAAGGTGTACCTTTATACTGACAAGAGGTCCAATGGGCCTGGATTACTCACCTATTTTTCATTTCACATCTGTGACATTCGATGAATTTTAATGTCAGATTTTTTAAGTAGGCTAAATATCATTACCATACACATTATGGATCTTTGTTGGGAGATTCTTTAAACCAATACCTTCTGAATCTTAACTGAACACTTTTAACTCATCTTACTTCATACCATTAACCTACCGTGAAAATATCATGATCCTAGTCATCGAAATGTTAAAAAAATAGTGCCGATTTGTCTGAAGTAGGTTGAGCTACTATGACAGAGCGTCGCTTGCGACTCAAAAATAAATGATGCATGGTACCTTGAAAGCAGGTTAAGTTCATTCATTTGAACAAACTTAAATAGCCCTTTATCCCAACAGGCTCCTGTCAAATAAAATCAACCTAGCCCTCATGGTGCTTTTAAAAGATGCTAAAAGGTTTAAACAAATTTGGCTCCTGTGACCTTGAAAGTGGGTAAGGTCATTCATTTGAACAAAATTGATAGCCTTTAATTCAACATGCTACTGGCTAAATATCATAACCCTGGGCCTCTTGTTATTCTGAAAAAGTCATTTAAAAAACTTGATCCCCTGTGACCAGCATATTACTGGCCAAATATCATTATCCCGTGCCTTTTGTCCATCCATCTTTTGGGATCCATGCTAGGAAGCTGCTAGACACATATCATGACTCTATGCTTATTGGTTCTTCAGAAGAAGATTTTAGTAAACACTTTTTTCAGGCTTCATCCCAGGAAACTACCAGTTGAATAGCATGAATATGGGCCTATAAGATCTTAAGAAGAAGTCATTCAAAGATAAAGTTCATGGATAAAAGACAGACAACAGATATCATACTGAGGCAGAAGCTCACTTGCCCTTCAAGTAGGCGTGCTAACAAAGTGGATCGTTACACTGACCCGGAGTTAATCTTCAATTGTCAAGCTACAAATCAGGCTCACACATTTAGCTGAATCTAACATACATCATTTTATTTCTATTTGATAATTGCTGACACTAAATGCAGCTTCATACAAGTACAACACACTGTCAGAAGCTGACAGAAAAACATTGTCCTGAACTTTTCCAGATCATAAGGAAGGCTGATATCTTGAAATTAAAGTTCTGCTGGCAGCAAAAAATCCAATTTTAGGAAATTGATTTCACCGCGTTAAAAGGCTTCTTTGGATTATATATCAGTGCAGCTAGCTATTGCTTTGAAATTCCCCACTTGTGAAAACATCATTAACAGACGTACCCTAAACGCCCGATTAGGTGATCCAGACACAAGTAATGGTGGGGAGACTGTAAGTACAGATCTTTACAGACAATTGTTATTATACACTTCTGAAAGATTATATATCCAACCATTGCAACAAACATATATCTACAAGGATTTAGTCAGGAGTGCAAAGGGTCTGGCACCAGGAATCATTTACCGAATTTCCTTAAAATTTGAAGAAAAAAAATTCCAATCTATTCTGTTTGCTTATTTGTCTTTTTGTAATTTTATTCCTGAAAACTACTTAGAAAGCAACAATGAAATAGGAACCATTTTCGAGAAGTTTCTTCTCAATTTACAAAATTATAATTGCAACATGGTAAAAAGACATAAACAAGAGGCCAAATGTGCCTGTATTGCCCATCACAGTGGAACAAGTTGAAATTTAGTTAAATCCTGGCACACTGAATCTCATTACTCTACACATTACTGGTCTTTACTGGAGGATTTCAATACTCTACACTTTAGGAATCTTTGTTGAAATATTGCAACAAGCTTAACTCATATGACCTTCAAAGTTGGTCAACATAATTTGTTGGGGTCGTACACACTCTAGTCATTTACACCAATAAGCTACATTGTACAAGCCAACTACGCTTACCTAAGGACCTTTGTTACATAGAAGTGGTTTAAGAAAGACACATTGGACTCTGTGGCCTGTAGGTAAATGTCACTATATAAATGTGTTAGCCCTTAGGATGCTACCACCAATTTATATGACTCTATTACTCTTGGTTATTCAGAAGTCGTTTAATGGTTTTAACACATTTCAAACAATTGACCTATAAAGTGGGTAAAGTTCATTCATTTGAACAACTTGATAGCTCTTCACCCCAACCTGATACTGGACCTATGTGATGACCCTGAGATGAAGGACGACCCACACTGCACCATGTCATAAGCTAACTTGTACCACCATGTCATAAGCTCACTTGTACCACCATGTCATAAGCTCACTTGTACCACCATGTCATAAGCTCACTTGTACCACCATGTCATAAGCTCACTTGTACCACCATGTCATAAGCTCACTTGTACCACCATGTCATAAGCTCACTTGTACCACCATGTCATAAGCTCACTTGTACCACCATGTCATAAGCTCACTTGTACCACCATGTCATAAGCTCACTTGTACCACCATGTCATAAGCTCACTTGTACCACCATGTCATAAGCTCACTTGTACCACCATGTCATAAGCTCACTTGTACCACCATGTCATAAGCTCACTTGTACCACCATGTCATAAGCTCACTTGTACCACCATGTCATAAGCTCACTTGTACCACCATGTCATAAGCTCACTTGTACCACCATGTCATAAGCTCACTTGTACCACCATGTCATAAGCTCACTTGTACCACCATGTCATAAGCTCACTTGTACCACCATGTCATAAGCTCACTTGTACCACCATGTCATAAGCTCACTTGTACCACCATGTCATAAGCTCACTTGTACCACCATGTCATAAGCTCACTTGTACCACCATGTCATAAGCTCACTTGTACCACCATGTCATAAGCTCACTTGTACCACCATGTCATAAGCTCACTTGTACCACCATGTCATAAGCTCACTTGTACCACCATGTCATAAGCTCACTTGTACCACCATGTCATAAGCTCACTTGTACCACCATGTCATAAGCTCACTTGTACCACCATGTCATAAGCTCACTTGTACCACCATGTCATAAGCTCACTTGTACCACCATGTCATAAGCTCACTTGTACCACCATGTCATAAGCTCACTTGTACCACCATGTCATAAGCTCACTTGTACCACCATGTCATAAGCTCACTTGTACCACCATGTCATAAGCTCACTTGTACCACCATGTCATAAGCTCACTTGTACCACCATGTCATAAGCTCACTTGTACCACCATGTCATAAGCTCACTTGTACCACCATGTCATAAGCTCACTTGTACCACCATGTCATAAGCTCACTTGTACCACCATGTCATAAGCTCACTTGTACCACCATGTCATAAGCTCACTTGTACCACCATGTCATAAGCTCACTTGTACCACCATGTCATAAGCTTACTTGTACCACCATGTCATAAGCTTACTTGTATCACCATGCCATAAGCTCACTTGTACCACCATGTCATAAGCTCACATGTACCACCATGTCATAAGCTCACTTGTATCACCATGCCATAAGCTCACATGTACCACCATGTCATAAGCTCACTTGTACCACCATGTCATAAGCTCACTTGTACCACCATGTCATAAGCTTACTTGTACCACCATGTCATAAGCTCACTTGTACCACCATGTCATAAGCTCACTTGTATCACCATGTCATAAGCTTACTTGTACCACCATGTCTTAAGCTTACTTGTACCACCATGTCATAAGCTCACTTGTACCACCATGTCATAAGCTCACTTGTACCAACACCATATGATAAAATATAAGCATGCTGCATGTTGGCATTGTCATGTTGCACACTCAAACTCAACCTGTTTATTTCTTTTTTATTTAAATTCATAAACCTAGTTATATTTCTTTACTAGCAGCACACTGTCTCACCGGAAGGCCTGGATGTTGTGTTATAGCTTATTTCAGCTGTAGCTATATTTATCACTGGCTTTCCCAAGAGATAAACTGACTTCAATGGACATTGGCTTCAGGTCATGTCCTTATCAACTACATAAACTTTTGTAATTAGGAAATATCCGACTGATTTAAAGGGTGCGTGTTGACTTAATAGCCCCTTTAAATTTCTGAAAATTTTGATTATTGCATAGACAACAAGAGTACCGTGAGTGGAGCATTATATGTGCACAACAGACTTGTGTAATGAATGAAATGGGGGAAGGTAAATACATGTCTGTGTAAAGTAGAAAGGTGTACTTTAACGAGTCAAGGATTGATTAACCAATGAGAAATGTATGTGTTGATGCATGCTATGGAAATGTTCACTGCCATAGGAATAGTGCTGCTGAATCTTACTAATGTATATATGTGCATGCAGCTCGTCGTTCTCCTGTGGAACTAGTTGCTGTCACAAACAATGGTGTGATGCCAAGTGAAAAATCTAAGTTGTAAAGTGCCATTTATATCAGAATCCACAGTTTATGATAAACCAATCGGTATCTGATACCTGTGACTTATACAAAATTCAATAACATTCAGCTGAAAACTTTGGGACGAGTTGCACTCATAAAAAAGTGTTATGCCGAGGGAAAATTCTGAGTTGCACAAGGCAACAACTCTTGTAACAAGAGGCCCATCAAGTTATCAACATGTAATATTCAAAGTATCATTTGCCATTATAAACCATAACAAATTTTGCCCCCCACCCCTCTCCTTCCCCAGGGGTAAACGTGAGACCCTAGGGTCATAAAATTCACAATTTTGGTAGAGCACCTAAAAACCCTTCCATCTATGAAAAGTATTTGATTCTACCATATCTGGTCTTGAGAAGATTTTGAAATTTCAGTCAATTCAACCCTTTTTTGCCCCACCCATCAGCCCATGGGGGTCAGTCAGGGCTCATATGTGCATACTATCAAACTGCTACCCAATACTGATAATGCTAACCTAAATTGAATTACTTCCAATCGCAATTACACAAATGTTGGTCCAAAATGTGATTTCCCTTTATAAACTATAGTAAAGTTTACCCCCTCCCCAGGGGGAAACGTGAGACCCCAGGGTCAAGAAATTCACAATTTTAGTAAAGCACCTTAAGACCCTTCCATCTATGAAAAGTATTTGATTCTACCATATCTGGATCTTGAGAAGAAGATTTTTGAAATTTTAGTCAATTTGACCCTTTTTGGCCCCGCCCCTCAGGCCCCTGGGGCTGGGGACCATATAATTCACATTTATAGTTGACCTTTGGCCATGGAAGGTTTCTGCAAAATTTCATTGAAATTGGTTCAGGGGTTTTGGAGAAGAAGTTGAAAATGTAAATTGTTTACGGACGCACAACGCACAACGCACAACGGACGACAGACGGACGACGCCGGACAAAAGGCAATCGCAATAGGTCAGTTGAGACTTTGTCTCAGGTGACCTTAAAATTGAAGCAGAATCCATTTGATGATATGCAATTTTTCATAAAAAACCTGTGTCACATACAAAATTTGATAACATTGAACTGTATACTGTGGGACTTGTTACACTCACAAGAAAGTGTGAATAGACAGATGGACAAATGGACAAACAAACAGATGGAGAGATGGGCATCGTGGTATCAATATATGCTCTGCTTTACAAGCAGGAATCTGCTTTACAAGCAGGAAGAGATAAAGAGAGGGTGAATGAACAGCACCAAACCATCTTACCTCCCTGGGGCTGCTGCTGACTGTTTTCTGGGAGCAACGCTGGACTTGACATCATCTCCACCACCCAACAGATCTCCTGTATCACTAGGGGGCGCACCTGTACTACATATCTAAAGGGAAACAAAATCACAGACTAACAATACAGAATAAAACTCTGCAAATATCTGTTATAACTCAATAATTTAATCTTGCTTGTAACAAGCATTTTCATTGGCTTAAAAATTTATGTTATCGGCCCATAACGTAAAAAATGACGTCGCCGTTTGTAACGTCGCTTTTGATTGGCTGATACTGAGCGCTTCGTGGTTTATTTAGAGTACACTCCGTATTTTTGTGTTATAGCTCCATAACATGAAAAATATATTCAAGTTAATCCTTAATTGTCTATAACAACTTCACGTATATAACTATCTGTTATAACTCATTGTATATAACAACTTAACATATATAACAACTTCAAGGGGAAGAAGCAGAAAAACAGGGAAAATATGATGATCTAATAGTAAACATAGCTAACATATTTACATTTTCCTCAACTTCAGTTTTTTTCCTTTTTCTTTGAGCCTCATCTTCACATTTGTCTTTCTTCCGCTTCCTGTTCTGCTTAGAAATGATAGGAACATCCTCCTCCTCCTCATCTTTACTTTGCTCCGTTTCCATAGGAACACAGTCAGGTGTAACCGTCTCTCCTGTCCATTTCTGGTACGTCTTCTTAGTTGGTGCAATCTTTACCATTTCTGTTTCTGCACACTTTGCTGCGACTTTATTTATGATATCTAGTTCTATGTTGTCGCTGTCTTTACGGAGTTTGGATGTTTCTAAGTGAGATTGTTCTTCACTCTCCAGTGACGTGTTTGTTCTTGGTTTTTTCTGTCTGGGTTTTTTGGTTGCTATGCTGTGTAGTTCAGTATCATACTCTGCTTTCTCAGTATTTACTGTACCATCAATTTCGTCGTCCTTTGGTTCACTAAAATCGTAGCTGTCCTTTGATGATTTGGGTAGGACTGGAATCTGATTTCTGACCTTACAAGTTGTACTGTATTTATCATTAACAACCACTTCCTCCTCTCCTGACTTAGGAAGACTGTAGGATTTCTGACTTGAAAGAGAAACAGCTTTTCTAAACATGTTTAACTTTGAAGATTCTATGGGTTTTTCTTCTGTCTGATTGATCACTTGATCAGAAGACATCAGGTCTATATCATCTGAATCGTCACCAAAACAAGTAAAACTCTGCTCCTCGTCTCCAGCTGGTGTTACCGTAGAGACGCATTGCCGCGCCGCCTGCTTCCACTGTCTGCTTACAAAGGACTGCTCTTTAATCTCTTTCTCACCAAACTTTTTAGAATTCGCGAATAATTTACTGCCGAGGCCTTTTAAGTAAACATTGTTTTTCTTCGAACTGTTCGGCTTCACATCGACAGAACTCTTTGGAAGTTTTTTATCAAACTGCTTTCCCCAAATCTCTGGCTCTGCAGCTGATTTGTCTGTACATGTCCCGTTGTCATGGTTTTCATAATATTGTGTTTTAACTGAATTATCTACACATTCCTCCTCATTGCCTCCATCATCCAAATCTGTAAACTGATTCTCAGAATTGACTTTGTTGTGAGGTGCAACACCGTGTGAAGTACCCCCGTCCTTATCCTTCCCCGACTCTTTTGAGGAATTTGTGTCATCAGTAGCCTTTGAACATGATGAATTTATCTTACTCTGAAAAGACAGAAAATCAGATTAAAGTCACACAGAATAAGATGGTTACAGATCATAGGATACCTGTCTCAATATTCAGTTAAAAGTTCTAAGGTATCTGAAAACGGACACACAATTTATATTGACCAATTTCAATCATCTGACCTATAATAATTTTGTTTAATTAAATGGGTCAAAATCCAACAAGTAAGTTTGGATCAAAGAGACAAGAAGTTTTAAAAAATAATAATTTGAGGTTCATATATAACGCTTTATCACAACCTAGGTCGTCTCAGAGTGGTTCACAAATTATTATCTGTGATTTTTTGGCATTTGCAATCACCCAATATCTTTCTCAACTCCCTGGGGAGTATACAGCTGGTTACGCCATTTAGGCGCTCACACCTAGCATTCAACAATTCCAGCACTGCCCAGCCACATACTCATTTACAGCTGAGTAGACTGGAACAAGTGGAGTGTTCAAAGATACAACACAGTGCTGTGTCGGAATTCAAACCTGCGACCATTCGGCCAGGAGCCCAGCGTCCTACCACTAGACTATCCTGCCTTAGTGTGAATCACTGTAAAGAGTTAGTGTTACAAGCCCCTAGATAACCTCTGACAGTACCTTCCTTAGTGTGAGTCACTGTAAAGATTTAGTGTGACAAGCCCCTAGTTAACCTCTGTCAGTACCTGCCTTAGTGTGAGTCACTGTAAAGATGTCGTGTGACAAGCCCCTAGTTAACCTTTGACTTAGTGTGAGTCACTGTAAAGATTTAGTGTGACAAGCCCGTTAGTCACTGTAAAGATGTCGTGTGACAAGCCCCTAGTTAACCTTTGACTTAGTGTGAGTCACTGTAAAGATTTAGTGTGACAAGCCCCTAGTTAACCTCTGACTCAGTGTGAGTCACTGTAAGGATTTAGTGTTTCAAGCCCCTAGTTAACCTCTGACAGTACCTACCTTAGTGTGAGTCACTGTAAAGATGTCCTGTGACAAGCCCCTAGTTAACCTCTGACAGTACCTGCCTTAGTGTGAGTCACTGTAAAGATTTCGTGTGACAAGCCCCTAGTTAACTTCTGACAATACCTGCCTTAGTGTAAGTCACTGTAAAGATTTCGTGTGACAAGCCCCTAGTTAACCTCTGACTTAGTGTGAGTCACTGTAAAGATTTAGTGTGACAAGCCCCTAGTTAACCTCTGACTCAGTGTGAGTCACTGTAAGGATTTAGTGTTTCAAGCCCCTAGTTAATCTCTGACAGTACCTACCTTAGTGTGAGTCACTGTAAAGATTTAGTGTGACAAGCCCCTAGTTAACCTCTGAC